ATATGTATATATATATATATATATATATATATATATATATATCTATATATATATATATATATATATATATATATATGAACAAGGAGACAAGCAGAAGAAATGAGGTGGTCTTCTGCCAATAAATCCTGTGTTTGAGTGTGAAGGTCACAGCTTTGACCTTGTTAGTGAGATAAAAAAGGATTTGAACCTTTTCCAGGTCCCATCAACCGCCAAAAACCTCTGTGTAGGAAAAGACAGCCGAGATGTCCTCCTTCAGCTCTCCTCCTGATTGTTTAAGTATTGATGGAGCAAAGTTCAGACATCTTTGTCTACATGGAAGGAAGAAGAGACATCTGGACTGCTCTTTAGCTGCTCTTTAACTGCTATTTAGCTGCTCTTTAAATGTTCTTTAACTGCTCTTTAGCTGCTCTTTAGCTGCTCTTTAACTGTTCTTTAGCTGCTCTTTAACTGCTCTTTAGCTGCTCTTTGATCTTTCACTGCTGTTTAGATGCTCTTCAGCTTCTCTTTAGCTGCTCTTAAACTGCTCTTTAGTTGCTCTTTAACTTATCTTTAACTTCTATTTAACTGCTCTTTCACTGTTCTTTCGCTACGCTTTAGCTTCTCTTCCGATGCTCTTTTGCTGCTCTTTAGCTGCTCTTTAACTTCTAGTTAAATGCTCTTTCACTGTTCTTTTGCTGCTCTTTAGCTGCACTTCAGCTGATCTTCAGCTGCTCTTTTGCTGATCTTTAGCTGCTCTTTATCTGTTATTTAGTTGCTCTTTCACTGTTATTTAGCTGCTCTTTAACTGCTTTTTAGCTGCTTTTTAACTGTTTTTTAGCTGCTCTTTAAATGATCTTTCGCTGCTCTTTATATCCTCTTCAGCTACTCTTTAACTGCTCTTTAGTTGCTCTTTAACTTCTCTTTAACTTCTATTTTTAACTTCTAACTTTCTGTTTTTAGCTGCTCTTCATATGCTCTTCAGCTGCTCTTTTGCTGCTCTTCAGCTGCTCTTTAACGGCTCTTTAGCTGCTCTTTAACTGCTCTTTAACAGCTCTTTAACTGTTCTTTAGCTGTTCTTTAGCTGCTCTTTAGCTGCTTTTTAGCTGCTCGTTGACTGCCCTTTAGCTGCTCTTCAACTTCTCTTTATTCTCTTTAACTTCTATTTAACTGTTCTTTAGCTGTTCTTTAGCTGCTGTTTAACTGCTCTTAGCTGCTCTTTAACTTCTCTTTAACTGATCTTTAGCTGCTCTTCAGCTGCTCTTTTGCTGCTCTTTAACTGCTATTTGACATCTCTTTAACTTCTCTTTAACTGCTCTTTAGCTGCTCTTCAGCTGCTCTTTAACTACTCTTTAGCTGCTCTTTAACTGCTCTTTAGCTGCTGTTCAGCTGCTCTTCAGTTGCTCATTAGCTGCTCTTTAGCTGCTCTTTAGCGTCTCTTGAGCTGCTCTTCAGCTTCTCTTTAGCTGCTTTTTAACTTCTCTTTAACTGCTCTTTAGCTGCTCATTAGCTGCTCTTCAGCTGTTCTTTAGCTGTTCTTTAACTGTTCTTTAGCTGCTCTTCAGCTGCTCTTTAGCTGCTCTTTAACTTCTCTTTAACTACTCTTTAGATGCTCTTCAGCTGCTCTTTAACTTCTCTTTAACTGCTCTTTAGCTGCTCTTCAGCTGCTATTTAGCTGGTCTTTAGCTGCTCTTCAGCTGCTTTTTAGCTACTCTTCAGCTGCTCTTTAGCTGCTCTTCAGCTGCTCTTTAGCTGCTCTTCAGTTGCTCATTAGCTGCTCTTTAGCTGCTCTTCAGCTGCTCTTTAACGTCTCTTTTGCTGCTCTTTCGCTGCTCTTCAGCTGCTCTTTTGCTGCTCTTTAGCTGCACTTTAACTGCTGTTTAACATATCATTAACTTCTCTTTAGCTGCTCTTCAGCTGCTCTTTAACTACTCTTTATCTGCTCTTTAACCACTCTTTAGCTGCTGTTCAGCTGCTCTTCAGTTGCTCATTAGCTGCTCTTCAGCTGCACATTTGCTGCTCTTCAGCTGCTCTTTAGCTGCTCTTGAGCTGCTCTTCAGCTGCTCTTTAGCTGCTTTTTAACTGCTCTTTAGCTGCTCTTCAGCTGTTCTTTAGCTGCTCTTTAACTGTTCTTTAGCTGCTCTTTAACTGTTCTTTAGCTGCTCTTCAGCTGTTTTTTGTCTGCTCTTTAGCTGCTCTTTAACTTCTCTTTAACTACTCTTTAGATGCTCTTCAGCTGCTCTTTTCTCTTTAACTGCTCTTTAGCTGCTCTTAAGCTGCTTTTTAGCTGCTCTTCAGCTGCTTCTTAGCTACTCTTCAGCTGCTCTTTAGCTGCTCTTCAGTTGATCATTAGCTGCTCTTTAGCTGCTCTTGAGCTGCTCTTTAACTTCTCTTTTGCTGCTCTTTAACTGCTCTTCAGCTTCTCTTGAGCTGCTCTTGAGCTGCTCTTTAGCTTCTCTTTAACTGCTCTTTAACTTCTCTTTAGCTGCTCTTGAGCTTCTCTTTATCTGCTTTTTAGCTGCTCTTTATCTGCTCAATAACTGCTTTTCAGCTGCTCTTTAACTGCTCATTAGCTGCTCTTTAACTGCTCTTTAGCTGCTCATTAGCTGCTCTTTGGACAGGGAGGCGATGACATAGGGTGAGTTCCGGATCTGGGCCAGCAGGCGGCGCATCAGCGTGTCTGTGTGTTTCCTGAATCCCTCAGAACCAGAACCAGAACACACCCAGTGACATGAGGGAGGTCTGAAGGAGCAGAGAAAGTCTCGAACTGCTCAGAGGAGGACCGAGCGGTCCAGCCAGCGTCCCTGTCCGTGCCACGGCTGTCCGTCCCGGCGCAGAGGAGTGAACCAGGACCGTGGAGCTCATTTTCTGTTTGTTTTCTGAAAGTTCACTTTGTTGTGAGGAGCTGAGTGTGAAGAGGAGCAGAGGAGGAGGATGTCAACTTCAGATGAGACCGACGGGCCGCGGCCCAGATATGGCTGTGAGTTCTCTTTCTTGTTCCTAAGAGGCCGGGACTCGAACCTGCGGCTGGTCCTGCAGGGCTCACAGAATCCCTGTAGCCACGGCTGTTTTACCTGAGACAGCGCGCGCCTCACTTTTCTCACACTTCCGTGTTTGAGGTGTGCTCAGTGAGGAGGCCTGCTCCTGTCCACACCTCTGTAGTTCACACACACACACACGCACGCACGCACACACGCACACATACCACTCTGCTCTGGAGGGAAACCACAGTTGATCAGTAAATCTGGAGCTTTTCTCATTTTAGTTTAAATCTCAAGGAGAAAGTAATTTATTGAAGGAATGCAGCTTCCTCTGGACTGCATCAGCTAAAGCCAAACTTTTTACAAAGATGTGCCGTGAATGACTCTCAGCTACTACCACACCAAACTTAACTCAATGTCTGTAAAGTTGACTGCGTTGGAGCCATTTTTGTAGTCTTTCAGTTCAGTTGGCTGCAGCAGCCGTTTTGAGTGGGATTAGATTCAAAAGTTAGTCACTTGTAGAGGCTCATCCTGGGATTATCTCCTGAAAGTTCCATTAAAATCTGTCGAGTGGTTCATGAGATGTTTTGCTAACAGACTAAATTGATTCCGATGTTTTGAACACAGTCAGCACTCAGAGTATAGGTTGGGGATCAGTCTCAGCTACTACCACACCAGATGTAGCTCAGCATCTTTAAGACTGACATGTTTGTCTTTACTAAAGTGCAGCGCCGTGTGAAAGTCTTCATCCTCTTTGGCATTTTTCATGTTTTCTTACATTACAGCCTGTGGTTTTTATCTGAGTCGTATGTGACATCCACCCATTATCTTTACCCGCTTATTCCATTTTGGGTCACGGGGGTCGCCGGTGCCCATGTCCAGCAATCACTGTGCAAGGGGCTGGGGACACCCTGGACAGGTCTCCAGTCCATCACAGGGACACATAGAGACAAACGAGACAAACCATTCACTCTCTCACTCACACCTAGAGACTATTAAGAGTCACCAATCAGCCTCACATGCATGTTGTTGGTCTGTGGGAGGAAACTGGAGTACCTGGAGAAAGTATGTGACATCATGTGCACTAAATAATCTAAGTTGAAGTGAAATGAGAAAAAAAACTGAACATTGGCATGTGCCTACGTATTCACCCTCTTTTTTTTTTTTTTTAGCTATGAAGCCCCTAAAACGTTCTGGTGCAACCACTGACCGTCAGAGGTCAGAGGTCACATGCTTAGTGAACTGAAGTCCACCTGTGTGCAGTCCAAGTGTCACATGACCTGTCACACACACCTTGTCTGAAAGGCCCCAGAGCAGGTCTGTTCAGCTAAACGTTCTTGTCATTAATAACGCTTTAAAGCTAGTTTTATTTAAAAATGAGCCCATTGGTGGACCGAACTGAGCTCATCCGTGGGCCTGATTTGGCCCCCGGGCCACCAGTTCAATAGCTCTGCCCCAGAGACTGCAACACCATTAAGCAAGACGCACCACTAACCAAACACCATGAAGACCAAGGAGATCTCCAAACAAGTCGGGGACAAAGTTGTGGCTGGGCTCTAAAAAATGTTCAGTTCTCTGATGATCCCCCAGAACACCATCCAGTCCTTGATCACCAGATGGAAAGAACGTGGTGCCACAACACACCTGCCAGGAGAGGGCCGCCCACCAAACAGGGCGAGGAGGTATTAATGGAAGAGGCAGCACAAAGACCTGAGGTGACCCTGAAGGAGATGCACAGTCCCAGACAGACACTGGAGCAGGGGTCTGCAGCCTGCGGCTCTGGAGCCACATGTGGCTCTTTGGTCCCTCTTCTTTAAAGCTTTCACCTAAAACTGACATGAAACTGAATTTTATTGGTTAAACAACAAAAAATGATTAGTTCAGTTTTTCTGTCATTTCTTTTTCAAATATGGGACTGGAGCGAGTACAAGAAGAAATATACTTTATCTTGATACTTTATTTCTTTATATGAAGAACGGTCTGCATAGTGGATAGATTTTTTTAATAATAAAAACAAAGTTATAAACTGATTGTTTTCCTCTTTACAAGAATCTGGTCTTTTTCTTTAATAAATGTTAAAAATCATTAAATATTTTTTGCTTTATAATGTCACTCTTACTGGCCACAAAAGCCCCTTCCAGCAAACCTCAAGTGGCCCATGGGCCACCAGTTGATAACCACAGTTGTAGCAGGTTGTTGCAGCTCCGGACACATTTAATGTCGTGGACCGAGGTGTAGAAGTGGCTCTTCTGATCGTGATGGTTTCAGACCCCTGCACTGGAGTGTATTTGATGTTTGCTTCACAAGCTGTAGGCACGTTCTGTAAATGAAGTGATGCAAACCCTCAAATAATCTGTTTTAATTCCAGGCTGTGAGGTAGCAAAACACGAGGGGGGATTGAATTTATTTATTTACCCTTTATTTATACAGGTAGTCTCACTGAGCCATGAGGACTCCTTTTCAAGAGAGACCTGTTTGGGAGCAGATGGTGGGGGTTAAGGGCCTTGCTCAAGGGCCCAGAGTGGGGCAGGTGTGGGTGCTTCACCTTTCACACCCACATTTTGATGTTGTCGGTCCGGGGAGTTGAACCGACGACCTTTCAATCACACACTCATCTTCTCTAACCTCTGCACCACCACTCGTATATAGAATACTTTTGCAAGGCACTGTAGGTTAACTGTGGCGGCCATCTTGAATCAGGTGTTCTACAAAGACGACCAGTTATTCATGTCAACTCAATGATTATGTTCTAAAAGTCTTACCATTTCTGATGCATGAAATATTTTGCTAACAGTACAGATAAATGCTTACACTAGCAAAAGCACAACGTTACCGGCGTGAATGTTTTGGCTTCTGGAAGTGATTTTTGAACTTGAGTCTGCACCTTTGAGTTTTCTTGTCCAACGTGTGTTTCACCTGATGTGGACGTGTCCTCTTGTCCTCCACTGACCTCGTGTCCTCAGGACAGGTAAAAGCAGCCTCATCCTCCCCTACACAATAACACTGGGCTAAATGAGGAGCGTCCCAGCTCGGGATGGTGTTGCTGTGCGCACGTTGCCCGGGGTGTCTCAGCGGCGTGTGCTAACTGGTACATGACGAATCGACGAGGTCGCATTCTTGTGCAAGGAGCTGCTTTTAGTGGGAAGTCTTGGTTGTGCAACTCAAACACTTTGGAAACTTCTGCAACACTTTCTGTTATTGCCCGCCTGTGCATGTGATCATGATTTTGTTGTGCATGTATCCATCTTTCACTGAGAAAGCTCTTTGACCACTGGATGATTTATAATTTTGAACGAACCTTGCAGGAAGTAATCATTAAATGTATATTTGCTGATGAACTTTGAGTCAGCCTGATTCAAGATGGCCGCCACAAACACAGAAATGGCGTTAGGTCAGTTTTCTATCTAGTGACCTAAATCTTGGTGCAGTAGCTGAGTCATCTCAAACTGTGTGTTCACTAATTAAACATTTTTAAATAAAAGTTTGATTATTGCCTATTTAGAGTCAACTCTGTCTGTTAGCAAACTGTCTCATGAACTGGTCAGTGGTTCCCTTACCATAATCAAAGAGGGTGCCCTGCCCTGTCAACAGAACCAAGCGCCCTGCCTACCGAAATTGTCCTTGACCCCTCGCCCCGTCAACAACTGCCGGCACTGATGTAGCGCTAAGGTAGCGGCGTGCATTACATACGCGCTAGCTAAAAAGCTACAGGCGTAGCGCTTCATGACTCTCAGACACATCCACCCCACTGACAACCGCTCGTACAGGCACACAACGCAGACATGTCCTCCGTCTCTCCACTTCCACGCTACCCCCCCCCCCCCACCCCCCAATAGTCACAAATCCGTGAAGACATGAGCGCCCTGCCAAGTGAATTGACCGCTGAATAGATTTCAACAAAACTTTCAGGAAGTAATCACTGGTTGAGCGTCTATAAGTCAGTCCCACTTACGATGGCCGCCACAGCTAATGGACCATAGCCAACACAAAAGTTGCTGTAACTCAGTTAATTTGTCAGATATTGGGCTAACATTAGTCTTGGTAGCAGATTCACAAGCCGCACTGCGGCAGGTGGCTGAGTGTCATTTCAAGGTTTGACTAAAAAAACAAACTATTCTTCACATCAACTGCTCCTCTTCCTCTGCAGTGAGAGGCGGCGGGTGATGTGTGCTCCTGTAAGGAATGCTTCAGTTTCCCTCCTGATGTAGAAATGTGACGTTGTGTTTGACTGCAGCTGTCCTGGACGGCGTGGAGCGACTCACGGCGGAGGAGATGGACGAGCGGCGGCAGCAGAATATGGCCTACGAGTATCTGTGTCACCTGGAGGAGGCCAAAAGGTGAGGGGCTGGTGGTCCGTCTGCACGGCTGTGTGCTGCAAACCAGAGGAGTGCTGTGGGAGCAGGTTTTATTTTATTCCCAGTCTTCAGTCAATAAGAGGGTGTTCCCTGACGTTATACGTTTCCAAAAGTGCATGGGATGTTGTCTGTTTCCCACTTTTGTCCAGAAAGACAAATCACTCGTCTGTAATTATGTTTGTGGCAAAAACAAAAAGTTTGAACTTTTTTGGGGAAATGTTGAAAAAAATGTCTGAATTATCAAAGTGATTGTTGTTGATGTCAACCTAAATGTTTCACAAGACATTCAGGCTCGTTGGGTTTGAGGCGTTAGTTGATGTGGCTGCATCAGGATTCAACTCTTGTGTTAACTTTGGAACATGATGGCGTCTCCCTCAGTTCAGTTTTTGACCATTTCCTCGTTGATCTGGTTCATCGACTCCTACTCAACTCTGTCATGGAGTGAAGAGCGGGAATTGGAAAAACCCTCCATCTGTCCATGTTGTGAGCACGATAACTTGAAAAATAAATGAGGCACCCACTTCCATTGTGGCTGCATCTGGGGTTAGAGAGAGCCCTGTCAAAACTTGGGCTGCCTCATCAAAATCCAAGATGGCTGCCGCCATATAAATGGATTTATGAATCGACCACCCCAGTCATTTGAGGAAAATTAGTTTGCTAGTTTTTATATTAAATAAAAGTATCAATTCCTCAAATGATTGGGGGTGGTCAAAGATCAATCTATGGTGGCCAAGGCCACCATTAGCCACATTAGCCAAAAAAAAAAAAAAAAACCCTTACCTCTGTTCTTCTGCAGTGTAACTCCTACCCACTTCTTGCACCAAAAACATTTAGGTTTATTTACATTTCCTGTTCAATTCCACTCCATCCATCCATCCATGCATCCATGCATCCATGCATCCATGCATCCATGCATCCATCCATCCATCCATCCATCCATCCATGCATCCTTACCTGCTTCTTCCTTTTCGGGTCGCAGGGGTCTCTGGTGCCCATGTCCAACAGTCACTGCAAGAGGCGGGGGACACCCTGGACAGGTCTCAGTCCATCACAGGGACACCTAGAGACAAATGAGACAACCGACCATTCACTCTCTCACTCACACCTAGAGACAATTAAGTTACCAATCAGACTAACATGCATGTTTTTTGGTCTGTGGGAGGAAACTGGAGTACCTGGAGAAAACCCACACATGCATGGAGAGAACATGTAAACTCCATGCAGAAAGGCCATTGGCTGGGATTTTAACTAGCGACCTGCTCGCTGAGAGGCAGCAGCTCTACCAACTGAACCACTGCACCACAGTCAAGAAAAACGCTCATCTGTAAACCTACAAACATTCAGTGTTCAAACCCCTCAGTGATGACGTCAGCGTTCTACTTGCTACATGTAGGACTGGATGAGGTCTGACCTGTTGCAGCGCTTCATAAAACTCATTCCAACCATGGATTTGTGGTGTGAGGAGCATGTTTGAATAATGGAAATCAGTACTTGGGTACTCTGCAGGGAAAAATCATCACTCAGCGTAGCATCATTGAACTCTCTCTTAAGCCATGTACGATTGTGTATCACATGATCTGTAACTCATTTTACTTGAGAACAGTCTTAACTCTAACTGAAATAACTTCAAAGTGTTGAATGAAAATAAAGAGAGAAGGGAAACTGGGGTGGGGATCTCACATCCTTCTCATATGATGCACAGCACCTGTCCAAAGATGACCAGTGTTCAGGAATACACGTCAGCTCTGTGGTTACTGTGTGAACGCTGACTCAGGCGTGCATGTGAACACTCAACCAGTTATCAAGTATGAAAGTAAAGGTGCAACCGCTGCTTCAACCAGCCCACTGTGTTCTGTATCTTAGTTTTTCAAGATACTCTTTGCAAACCACAACATAAATAAAAGTTTCAAAGTTTCATCTGACCCGTACTGGTGCCGTTTTCCAGATATATTCATGGCAATTCTGAAATGAGGGTCCACATTCAGTGCAAACAAAGGACTTGGCTGTTTCCACTGAAAACCACGTGGAAGCTCGAGTCACGTGACATTAGGCTGGTTAGAGTCTGGGCGGACGAACAAATGTGGTCAAATTAGCCCCCAAACACACTGTTGTTGGGCTGTTGACACAAAAGCATCAGGGTTTTGAGTCCATTCACTGTGGCAATCCTGAAGAGCAGCCCAAACACCAGAAGCAACTTGTAGCTATGCTTCCTATAGCCATGCTTCCTATAGCCATGCTTTCTATAACCATGCTTCCTATAGCCATGCTTTCTATAGCCATGCTTTCTATAGCCATGCTTCCTATAGCCATGCTTCCTATAGCCATGCTTCCT